AGGCCACAGAGGCACAATTGTGATTTTCAGCTGTAAGGCTCCTTAGTGGAGTGTGCACAAAGGGCTAAAACACTTCCCAGCCATGAGACCTGGATACATGACAAACTCTAGATTGCAAACGGTAATGGGTATTTTCAGATGACACCCAAAAAGGGTGTGCATCTGCACAAGGGGGATTTTTACATCAACAGTAAGTGCTGTTGTATAATTTATCATGCTTTAAAGTTGAAATTAGGTTAATGATTAAGCAATTCAGTTTAATATCAGAACAGAAGCAGACCTGCTGGTGATTTGATGAAGGCCCCCCACACCCACCACCACAAGAGGAACTGGTGCTCCAATGCTTGCTGGCTTTTTTCAAAATTTATTAAGATGTAAAGGTTGCCGGGGAGGGGGGAGAGAGAGAGAGAGAGGAGGTTTTTTTTTACAAGTCTCCCTTTCTACTGAAAAGCAAATTCTTCCTAATATTTATTTATTTATATATATATATAAATGATTAAACATTTATTAAACATTTATATATATAATGTTTAAATGTTTAAATTTTAGATAATTATTAAGTACTAACATAACAATTTGGCCTAAAGTATTTATGTGCATAAGAGCTCATTGAGACATGTTTGTAGAGTGCCTCAGCCTAAATGGCCTTGTTTTACCTATACCACTGCAGAATGCTTGTATGGGGACAACTCATATATTGCCACGGTCTCACTGGTAGGGCTCTCAAGGACTTCATTACAGTGAAGCACCTCCGCAAAGCTACTTCAAGGAGTAGCACACAAACAAAGCAGCAGTCTTGCTTCAGTTTGCTGTTCTTCTGAGGCACTTTCAAGAGCCCAAAGAAGCTTCTGCAAACATCCAGCCCACTTATCAAAGAGGCTTCTTTGCATGAGCAACAAACACACAGCGTGCTCTTTGGCTGCTGGAATATTAGAATAGGCTTCAAGGCAATGTGAAAAACCTTGTTCGGAATTGTATCACCTTGACAGAGAATAATTTTACTTCAGTGATGTTGGATTTAGATTAGACATAATGATAAACTAGCTTAGTGACATGAGAGCAAGCCTGAGCGAGCCCTGGTTCATCCCCACTAACCCAAGTGTGAATATGTAGACTCAGAACATTGGCTTTTGTTTTAATTTAATCACCATTACCTGATTTGTCTGTACAGAGATAGTTACCAATAATTTAGGAAATAAAGTTTAGTTTGTAGCTGGCCTTTTTTCCCTTAAATCAGAGTTAAGAATAAGCATAATTATGAAAATGTATTTTAGTCAAATTTCCTGAAAACAGGTATGGCAATGCATGCATCAAGCTGCTTTTGCAGTAAACACTTCTATTTAACAGGCTAGTCACAATGATAAACCACTGTTGGCTAAAGACTTCAAGGCATGCTGCCATACAGATAACCGTTGTACCGTTGAGGCGCTCTTTTTAGATGACGTGTGTGCAGAGACTATCTGAACTGCATTGAGAGTTGGATCTTGAGCTCCATAAATGTTCTATCCTTTCCTGGGCACTCCAGGTCAATTCTAGAGCTTGCTTATAATGTTCAAGTCATAATGTTCAAGCAAGTTAGAACATTATGACTTAGTTACTTCAGTCATTTTTAATTATATTGCAAGTAACATTTTTATCTTGAGACAAAATGTGATGAAAACTTCAGCCAGAGTTGGCTAAAAAAAGGGAGGGGGGAGAGATTTGCAGTTATATGCAGTCCTGGGAGCACAGGTTGCCTATACTAGCTGTATTTCTCCTCAAACTAGAATATTAGCAAGATTTCACATTATACTGATGTTTGGGCAAACAATTGTCCCTTATGAGTGATTTCAAAGCATCATGTGGTAATAAAACAATCAGGCTAGTGTTGTCATCAGAGTTGTCAATCAAAATACTTTATAACTGCAATACTTGCAGCCATTGTATAAATAATCCCTTTCTGCCCCTCCCATTTTTCCATTCAGTGCAACACTAAAAACATACATAAATCTCAGTTTGCAGAAACAGATTTATAAATTCAGTAATTTTATTAAAATCTGAATAAAGGTGATACTTCAAAAAGCAGAGAAAATTATTATAGAATGCTCTTTACATATTGGATACATGTTTATACAAATTTTGAGAGAAAAGGGAAGTCAGATAAGGGGAAAAAACTCGGTTTTGATATTGTTGAATAACCAGGAACCATTGTATTATAAAAATATGTGCAATCCAGAAGCAAAGCTTGCCAATGTTCATCACAACCACCTTCCAATGAATAGGAAGCTGTGCACCAGCTACGCCATACAAAAGGACTGATGGTTTTTAGCCTGAAGATGGTTTTAATACTGCAGATAGGGCTGGATCATTTTTTTTAACCTGATGGCTGCACTAGAGCTTTCTGCTCTGACAAATGGCTGGCAGGAGAGGGCGCAGTGTTGTATTTCTGGACCTGTTTGCTTTTTTAAAAAGGTGGTTGGGGAGGTCACTTAAGACTTGCTTTTGTTCCCTAAATCCTACCCCATGGGGAGAAAAACTGGCCTGATTTTGGGGGGGGGGGGCAACATTATTAAAGGGTCTATTGGGCGCCTGAAGCCTCTGAGGCCTTGCAAGCATGTGGCCCAGGCATGTAATCCACTCCTGCTGCAGGTTTACAGTAGCAGATTCAATAAAGAGACTATGAGTATGGTTAAAAATGTGGCATCTTATTAATATCACTCATGAAAATGAATTCTAACTTCCATATCTCCATTATGTGAAAATGTATGCGGACATTACATGTGTTGTGCTTTCAGTATGTGTGTGCAATACACATGTAGAAGAGACCTTGAGTAAGATGCCGATCAAAGACATTTCTGTCAAATCCTGAACAACTAATTCCATATTCCCCAGTGTTTGTTCCTGTCCTGATTTCAAGCAGCTGATATTACCAGTTGCTTGGTGGCCCAAATATCTGAATATTGGATATAGTCCAAATAAAAGCATGCAGTATCTGTGAAATTTGGACAATGAAAGTCCATTTTTGTTACATATTAACCTACCCATAGGGAAGAACACCTAAACTCAGTAAGTATCAATTTTCCAGTAATTATTTTAAAGAAAATGTGTTTTGGGGTGGGATGGGGGGAGAAGTTGATACAATTAATATTTAGTTCACTTATTGGTAACTGGTTCTGACGTTCATGGCATTTACTAAAATGATTATTAAGTGTGGTCCAGAGATACTTGTTTCTGTTTATGCCCAACAACTATCCAAGGACAATCTATAGATTACAAATTAACTGACACTGAATTTATAGTTTCTCAAAATCCATATTTATGCAGCAGTAAGGGTATCAAACAGATTTAAACTCTATAGAGCTCAAATTCTGGTCTGATCAGATTTAATATAATGAATCAGTACATTAAACGCTTGATAAACCATGTGTGAATGTACAGTGTGTGTGTGTGTGGCATACAATAAAACTGGGCACAAACATTTTCCATAAAAATTGTGGGCACAGAAACTGGATATATGACTTACATTTTTTTTTCCAGGGGAAGGAGAAATTCTCCAACTCTCTCTGAAAGCCAGGATTCCCCCATAGAAGTGAAAATAGCACTGCTACTAAAAATCCCTTGGGATTTAATGGAAGCCAGAAGGGCTGAAAACTGATGGAAAAATGATTGAAAACAAAAGTTAGTACATTCACTCAAACCCTTCTGCCACTTGGGAATGAAATAAATGTAAGAATAACATATACCGCCTATGAAATTGCACCTAAATTCTCTACATGAAGACTTTTTTCCCATAACATTAAATGAGAACTGGTTAAAAAATGCAGAATTTCTCTGCCAGGCAGAGTGTGTGTCTGTGAGAGGGAGGGGGATTGATTTTTTTTGTTCCCTTCTTACAAATATAATTGTAATTCTGACATCTTATGTCCACTGTTTGCACCCAGTTTCATTAGAGCCAGTGGAAATGTTACACTGATATTCAAACTGCTCTTGTTTTGGGTATCTTCCCCCCCCCCACTTGCTTGTATGGATAGATTGTACCACTGTGGCACAATCAGGTGGGAAATATGTATACCATCAGCAATTGTGCAAATACACATTCACATATGGGATCACAACCATTACAAAGTAACTTCCGATATCACTGGATTATGTACAACCTAAATGCTCTATAAGCAGATTATAAAAATCACCACAATGCATACACAGACATAGCAATATTGTGTCCTGGAATATTTGGTCACATGATGTATTCGATTGTCAAATCAGGGTATGTCATTTCTCAAAATATGGCTAAGTGCACCAAAAATAAGATTTTTCTCCCCCTACCCATTTTAAAATTTACCTTAGATTTTTTAAAAATAAAAACTATTTTAAAATATTAGTAGAAATTGGATTTCAAAATAAAATTATGAAGTTTTTTGTTGTTTCCTGAAATATTTATTCTATGAAAGGAACTTGGCTATTATTAAAGGCAGGATATGAAAACACTGCTGCCTCCTCCCATCAGGCATGAACAAGATGCTCTGGGTACTGATGTAAAACATTTCATGTAAAGTGGTCTAGCAGAGATATCCCCATTCATTTGGGGCACACATGTGTTTTCTGTGTAAGTCCTATCAAAACCAATAGTGCTTGTGTGACAGATGCCTTCTAAGTATACAGAATCAGAACATCTATTTAACAGACCCACATCTGTTTTACACTATAAATAATTTGACACAAGCTAATAATAATAATAATAATATATATATATAT